GTTGGGGCGCCGGCGGGGGGTGCAGGCTCTGGGGTGGGGCCGGGGATGAGAGGTTTGGGGTGCAGGGGTGTGAGGGCTCCGGCTGGGGGTGCAGGCTCTGGGGTGGGGCCGGGGATGAGAGGTTTGGGGTGCAGGGGTGTGAGGGCTCCGGCTGGGGGTGCAGGCTCTGGGGTGGGGCCGGGGATGAGGGGCTCAGAGCTGGGGCGGAGGGTTGGGGTGCAGGGGGGTGAGGGCTCCGGCTGGAGGTGCAGGCTCTGGGGTGGGGCCGGGGACGAGAGGTTTGGGGTGCAGGAGGGGGCTCTGGGGCTTTCCTCATCCCAGCCCTGGTTAATGAGCAGCCTGAGAGCTTCTCCCTGAGCCAGCAGCTTGCCGGGCAACTCCCTGGTTGCACTGAACCACTGTCCCCTCTGCAAGGCGTGTTACAGGGAAGCGGGCAGTGGCTCCGCTCCCCAGCCCGGCTGGTTCGCGGCTGCCCCCGGGGCCACCCCAATGCGCGTTTCAATTTGAAGAAGCAATTAGCTCCCCCACCCCAATGCCCCCCGGCAGAGGCGAGGGAACCTGCTGCCTTCCGCCCGCCGGGACCAACCACGGCCAGAGAGACTAAGCTGCTTCCAATGTCTCTGCTCTCCGCCAGCCCCAGGGCGCACAATACCTCCGGTCTCTGAGCACACCGCCACTAGCCCCAGTCCCCTCCTGCAGCCTATGGGCAGGAAATCTCCAGCCCCCTTCCACCTCCTGCAGCTCCCAGGGATGAGATCACTGGCCCCGGCCCCCTCCTGCAGCCTCTGGGCTGGGGGGAGAGGCACCACTCCCTGCCATGGGAACTCCGGGGCTGGGGCCGCAGGATAGGTGCCCCTCCTGCCCGGCCCCGGCAGGTCTGGGCTGGGTCTGGGTTCAGGCCAGGGGAGGGGCGCTGTGGCCATGGCAGGTCCGGGCCATGGCAAGATTGGAGCCGGGGGAATGGTGCCTGGCCGTGGCAGGTCCAGGCCTTGGCTAGGTTTGGGCTGGGGTATGGGGCTGCTGCAGGTTCAGGCCACCCCAGCCAGTTTCGGGCCGGGGTAGGGGCGACCTGGCTGCAGCAGGTCCGGGCCGGGGCTGGATTTGGGCTGCCCCACCCCCGGCAGGTCCCAGGGCGGGTTCCCTGAGCACCTGCGTGGCACTAAATAGGCTGCTGCGCATCCGCGCAGCTTACAGGGAACTTAGCAAGTGACCCCCATGGTGCAGAGGAAGACAAAACAACTTCCAAGATCTCTGCCAATCTGACCTATAAGAAAAATCCTTCCCCACCACACAAATGGTGATCAGATAGATCTTGAGCACAGGAGCAAGA